GAGAGAGAGAGAGAGAGAGAAAGGGAGTGCATGAATAAGGGAATAATATTAGAAATAACGGTAATAATAACAATATTATTAACGATAATAACAATAGATAAATAATAATAATGATAATAATTATAATGATAATAACAAAGAGGATAATAATGATATTTATAATGATAAGAATAGTACTGAAAAAGTAAATACTACTACTACTACTAATAATAACAGTAGCAATGATAATGATGACGTTGGTAGTAATAATAATAATAGTAATAATGATAATGATAATAATCATAATAATCATAATGATAGTACTAAAATTAGTAATGACACCTAAGAAAGAGAGATTTATAAAAATATTTATATTCCTTTAGTTAACTGAACGAGAATAGAACGCGGTCCTTTTGAACGAAACACAAGAGCGGTATTGACTGAGCTACCGCGGCTCTATCATATATTGGTCATTTAATAAACTTAAAGTGCAAAGTCTGTGTGGATGAGGAGTGTGCGTGTGCGTGTGTGTGTGTGTGTGTGTGTGTGTGTGTGTGTGTGCGTGTGTGTGTGTGTGTGCGTGCGTGTGTGCGTGCGTGTGTGCGTGTGTGTGTGAGTGTGTGTGCGTACACACGCACACACACGCGCGTACGTGCATAAGAAGAAGGAAAAGAAAAAAATCAACAATAATAACAACAACAGCAAGAAAAAAGAAAATGAAGAAGAAGAAACACAAGAAAGATGAGAAGAAAAAGAAGAAAGACAAGAGAGAGGAGAAGAAAAAGTCGATGAAAAAGAAGAAAAAGGAAGAGAATAAAAATCAGAAACATAAAAGAAGGAGGAGGAGGAGGAAGAAGGAAAATAAATAAGGAGGAAGAAGCAGAAGAGAGAAAGAATAGAAAACGGCCGGAGAAACACCTGTTGTTGCAACGCGTGATTATCGCTGTCATCTTTGCCGGGAATCGTATATAGGCCTATCTGTTTATGAATATGTGCTAATTTACATATAAGGCCTGTGCGATAAAAGTAAAAATTATAACATGATTAATAACTACGATAATGATCCCGACATTGATGATAATGATAAGGGTGTTAATAATTATGATAATAATAATGATAATAATGATAATAATAATAATAATAATGATGATGATAATAATAATCATAACATAAACAATAATGATAACCAAAAAAATACTGTTAATAATAATAATGGTGATGATGACGATAATGATAATAATAATAATAATAATAATAATAAAACATATTATTAATAACAACAACAAGAATAACAACTTCAAAAACAATATCAACAATAATACTGATAAAAAATATATTATTTATTATTAGTAAGATTACTATGATTGTAATACTACCGTTAAAATAATAATGAAAATAATAATAAGAACAACAATAATAAGAATGATAAGAATATTATGGTCATAATTTAGATAACAAAAAAATAATAATAATAACATTAATATGGAAAATACTAATAATGGTAAAACATTCATAATAGTAACAATAATAATAATAATAATAATAATAATAATAATAATAATAATAATAACAATAATAAATAGTTGTAAGGATAGAAATGATAATAACAATAGTAGCTGTAGTAGCAGTAGTAGTAGTAATATCAATAATAATGATAATAATATAATAATGAATATAATAATGATAATGATGATAATAATAACAAAATAATAATGATTACAATGATAGTAGTAGTATTAGTAATGAACATAATAGAAATAGATTATACTAAATTATGGTAATAACAAAGATAATGACAATTAAAATAAGAAGAAAGACTTATAAAAATAATTTTATTCCTTTAAGTAACTGAACGAGAATCGAACGCGGTCCTTTTGAACGAAACACAAGAGCGGTATTGACTGAGCTACCGCGGCTCTATCGACTACTGGTCCTTCAATATATTTAAAGTACAAATTGGATAAGGAGAAGTTTTAGCACACAGACACAGATAAATGGAGACAAGGGTGTGAGTGTACAAGTGTGTGTGTGTTTGTATCTGTGCGTGTGTGTCTCTGTGTGCGCGCGCGCGTATGTGTGTATATGTTGCTAAACACTACTTGATGTTAGTGTATGTATCTATGTGTGTGTAAGAGAAAATATATGTGTGTGGGGGGGGGTAGGTGATACTGGAGATACTTGCAATAAAAGTAATAATAATGACAATGACAAAAATAAAATAGTAATTATAATTATCATATTAGCTTTATTCTTGTTATTGCTCTTACTATTACTATCATTATGATAGTAATTGAAACATTACAATAATAATAATAATAATATCATTGCTATTACTACTACGACTACTAACATAATAATAGTAATAATAATAATCAAATAATCAGAATAATAATCGTAATTATGATATTAACTGAAATGTTATAATAATAATAATAACTCTACTATTACTACTACTACAAATATAATAATAGTAATAATAATAACACAATCAGATAATCAAAATAATAATTGTAATTATAAACATGACAATAACAACAGCACCAGCAGCAAAACAACTACAATACTACTAATAATAATGATAATAATAATAATAATAATAAAATCAGTATTAATAATAATAATAATAATAATTTCTAGAAATGATATTAAAATCTGATCCATAATCACCCTTTCCACTGTCAATCGCGTGACACGGCTGGCCGAAACACGCCGAGCGAAGAGGCGGGCCGTAGCCACCGAGCGCCTGATCGCACGGCGCCGGCTGCATGTCTTCGGGAACGCGCGGCCTGCGAGGAACGCCTGTTTACCTTCTCACGCGGGATCAGCGCCGTGGCCCCGGGAAGCCGTGTCATACATATGCGACATCATTCCTGGTTTTCTTGTCCCTTTTTGCATTGTTTGGAGATCGATGGCGCGGGTATCAGAGGGGCGCTCGCTGAATAATGCATGCGGCGCCGTCACCGTCGTGTTGTGGAGGCTCTCAGGGGGGGGGGGGGGAGAGGTCGTGATTGG